TCAACCACATATTCACCATCACACCACAAAAAAAAAATGCATTCTTTTTATTTTAATGTGCATCAAACACACTCTTATGAAAATCTCTAGTTATTTTTAATCATCATCATCATCATCATTATTATTATTTATATCCATTGGTTAAGTATGTGTTGTGCTAAAAATTCAGAAGTGAATCATATTGTAAATAGTGGAAATTACACACAAGCTTACTTTTCAAGATCCATATTAAAAAATCAGATGGAATGTTTCATTATTCAAAAATCAGATGTTTTATTTTAATTAATATTTTAATAAAATAACAAACCCTAATTAATTAATTCAATCTTCCCTCTCTCGCTTCGTATCTACTCTCTCTCCCTATACCAACCTGTCGCCCTTCACTCTCTCTCTCTTGACACCTCGTCGCTGGCAACACAGCTCCCAACAACCGGTGGCGTCCGCTCCAAGACTTGCCCAGGCCTGCTGCAAACGGATCGGCGAGGTGGCTAGAGGCGGAAGTCTGCTGCCTAATCTGCAACGCTGCCTTTTTTGGGAGAATTGGATCCAGTCTGTTTCCAAATCTGGTGCGAAGGAGCCAGCTCCTGCTGTCGGCCTAAGGCCGCCGCTACCATTGCTAAGCCAACTGCCAAGGCTAAACCTGCTCCTAAGGCTAAGCCACCTCCGCGACGATCATTTGCAGAAATTCGTTTCTATGTTCTCATGGTGGATTTGAGGTGTCGTGGTGGTGATTGGTGAAACGGATAGTGGCGATGGGGGTGGTTTCGAGTCGATCTGGTTGGTTGAAGTTTTAGGTGGTTTTTGTTGGCGGTTTGCAGATGGTGAGAGTGGTGGTGGTGTAGTTCAGATCTATGGGTAGTGGTTATCTGATGTGCAACAATCTCTGTAGTGGTTTTTTATGGTGTTGGGTGGTTTTTTATGGTGATTTGGTCGTGATTGTTTGTCGGTGGTGGTGCAGGTTGTCGTGGTGTTGTGAGGTGCGTGGCTTTTGGTTGTTGTCGGTGGGGCGGCGATATGGTGGTGGTGGTGGGTGAGGTGAGGTGAGGTGAGCTGGGAATAGGGCATTGCCGGGCAGAAAGGTGGCCGGACGGTGAAGTTCCGGCGTTTGACAATAGACTAACTGTGACCTCAAAATTCGATAATTTGTGACTAAAAATTAATCTGTGACCTTTAATTTTTTGATCCGTGACCAATAAAATAATTTGTGACCTATAAAATTATTGATTTGTAATCTCAAAATAGTCCGTGACGTCCAAAATTTTTAATCAGTGATTAAATGTTTGAACTGTGACCTCAAAATAATTCGTGACGTATAATATTTTTGATTTGTGATCTCGAAATAATTCGTGATCTATAAAATGTTTGAACTGTGATCTCGAAATAATTCGTAACGTATAATATTTTTGATTTGTGACCTTGAAATAATCCGTGACCTATAAAATTTTTGATTTGTGACCTCAAAAATAATCTGTGACCAATTAATTATGTACCCGTGACCATTAATTGTATAATTATGACATCATTATATTTATTTAATTAATTAATTAATTAAATCATAATAAATTTTAATAAAAATCTGATTTTTGAAATTCCAAACTTGTTTTCTTAATTTTGAAATATGGGATACATAACCTCTTACTTATGAATTTTTCCCTTGTAAATAAGTAATAAAGTGAATTAGAGTCCTGATTATCGTTTTCACGAGTATTAAATATTTAGCTTATGTTTGGTTTAGATAAAAATCAAATTTTTAGTAGATTTCGATAAATATTAATGAAATCTATGATTGAAAAGTCGTAAATCATAAAAAATGTAAGGTTAAAATTAATTGTTGATTTTGAAATTCATTAATCAACTTTTTTAGATACACCAAGTATATGTTTAATCTAGTTCCAATTAACACTAACTTTGATTGAATAGCAATCTTGATTTTATTTTTTATATTAGCAAATTAAACATAAAACTAATCCAACTAATTGATCGGGGAAGTGTATATTAAACTCAATTAATTGGCAAGAATTAGGGCTTCAGATCTCCATATATTCTCCCATTTTAATATTAAATTCCTTGATTTGACAATACATATTCGAACTTAAACATCAAATTTCCTAATTTATTTAGAAATCTTTTTCTAATATAATTAAATCTATTGTCACGCATAGAACTAGATCTCTATGAAGAATGCAAATATACAAAGATGTATTAAAACACAAGAACGTCCATAAGATCATTCAAATCATAGCAATACATCTCTATCATCGTTTTGCTTTACAATTATTATTACTACGAGCTACATTTCATATCCATTCTCTCGAATGTCAATAGAAATTACAAAACAATTCAGTTATTGATCAAGTAATTGAAATAATAATTGAAAGACATTAAACTCCTAACAGTCATTCAAAACTAAACAAATATTTAATTTCACAATTAAAAGTTTAATATCGAAACTTCATAATATAAGGTTCAACATTATCTTAACGTCTATACAATTAGTCAAGTATTACCAAAACACAAATTTAATTGATTCAACGTCACCAAAATAAAATTTCGAAAAGAAAATGAAAAGAAAACTTGAAACCCTTTAATCTCTTCAACAGCTTCAAAACTTGCAAAGAATATCAATGTTGTATCCCTAGGCTTCCCCTACATAATGGATGAAGATGTGTATCTATAACTCCTAATATTAGGTCGGGAAGAGCTATTGGGTTTGATTTAGCTTTTTGAGGTTCATGTAATGCATGAATACAGGAAAGGTAATCAAGTGACACATTCTTTGGCAAAATTAGGTGCAAAAAGTCATACACAGAGGTTTTCCTCGTACATGGAGCTACCCAGAGTTGCTTGTGGACTAGCCCGTTTAGATCAATTTGGAGTACCTTATATTTGAAGTTGATTTTTCTGTTGGTTTTCTCGTTTGTCATGTTTAGCTTGTTCATCGTGAAACATGGTTTTTTGTGTTTGTCGTTTAGATGATAATGTTGGTTTTGGTGGAGCGTCAACGATCGATTTTTGTAATCCGCCACAAGTGAGGTTTTATTAAATAAAACCGATATTATTAAAAAAAAAAAACTCATAATATTAGGTCAAAATTCGTGCCGTAATTACTTTTCAAGTAGAAGTTGAGTTGAACAAGAAAGCAAAATCTCCCTGTCGAAGTGTACATGTTGTCATGGTACAATGCCTTGATCGCATGGCATTTTATGTATACCTGTTGTTGAGGGTTTTCCCTTGCTTGCGATAAATCGCAAGGTGTTCCCATTGCTCTAGCAATGTCAATTTTGGTCCTCGTTCAATTTGGTTCCTGAATTTTTCATTTTATTTAGCGCAAGTGCATTTATATTTGTACCATGGGTCCTTCATCTATTAATTTTGTTACTTAGATCTCCATCATTCCACAATCATATGCAATTGATCTAGTTCAAGTTTCGAGAGTTCGAAATTAAGTTCACAAACTTTTCAAATTCCGAATTTAACTCCTAAAATATGAATTTCTTCTGATTGCTCTCCTAATACTCCTTTTAATCATATGCAATCCGATTGATGTTCAATTACTCATAATCAACTTCGATGAAGCTAAAAATCACATTTCTTTACGCCAAATACATCCAAGTTGAGGTTTTACGTACAATTAATATATCTGCACTAAGTTAGGTAAATATCTACTCAATTAACCATAATTAATCAAGTTTAATATTTTTATTGACGGGAAGTATTGAATAAAATTGAACACTCTTAAAAAAATGTTAAAATTTCATTCTTCGTATCTCATTTATTCCCGGTCTCTGCCCCGTTCTCATTTAGACTAACAATCAAGTTAGTAAGAATGATAAACAATGTGACATAAAAAAAAAAAAAAAAATGGAAAAGATAAAGTATAAAAGAATATTCGTAGGTTGAGGCATATCTATCGATGAGCACTTGCTCTAGATGATGTGTCCCATAATTGGTTGTGTGTGAATGGCAAATGTGGCAACATGTTTCCAGATTCACAGAGCGAATAAAATGAAGTTGATGTTTTTTGTCCCATAATTCTAAGGATATTTTGAACAATCTTCTTAAGTACTGATATTGGGAATAATGATAATCTATAGATTAGAGTTTACCACTCGTTTACTTTCCATGAAACCTGAGTCTTTGATCTTCGACGATGGGCGTGAAATATTGATGGAACCCCATTCTTGGAGACCGGAGGACTCGATGGAGCTATTGATGCTGGCAGCGAGAAGATAGACAAGGTCTATCATGTGCTTGTTTTTCTTGTTTCGTCTAATGTTTGATAGACTATTGTATACAAGAATGGAAAAGTGCAAAAGAAGAAAGAGATACTGAAAACTGATTGATTGCCGCAGACATCTAATTGCTCCAAAAAAATCTTCCGGTTGACAAAAACCTAAAATCTAGCCTGGCATTTTTGTTTAATAAATTTTACTTTGCTACAGAATTCTGGATGCGTGTAGTGATATCGTTTACTTGGGCAGATCTTCCTTCCACGTTCCCTATACGTACAGTAGTTTCTTTCTCCTTTCCCTTAAATTTCAGGGATGAATGATGTTTCAAGCTGTATCTGAATTTACCTTTCCTTATCAGACACTTATTGCATCAGTGCATATAAACTAAGTAGACTGCAACTGGTGGATTGGTGATTTCATCCTGTCTAAGGTGAATGGCTTCACTGTTCTTTAAAATCATCTGAGCTTTTCTCACATCTGATAATTGAAATAGTATTTTTGGTTTCTGGCAGTGTTCTGGGAATCGACATTAAGATTGATTTCTTCTTACTCGTTGTATGAACATAAAGTCATGTTTAGTTTCTCACGATATATAGAACAATTGGCAAGTGTCGAGCATGTTTCCTTGGTAAAAAATGTCTCTATCTTGTTTCTGAAAGTTACTTCTTTAGTTTTTTATAAACTCCATCAGCAAGGAATTCTAGGGAATTCTACCCATTACAAAGTTTTCAAAAGCTGTAAACACCATGTGCTCGAAGCTTGAGGAGTCTAGCTTGAACCCATTAGGCTGGCTGCTGGCTCAGGAACCGCCCTGAACTTAAATACAGCCTGGCCAAGGGTGGCTCTCCTCATTGGAGGTAGGTCTGGGCAATACCATTTAACCATAAAGGTTGCTCGCGGTGAAAGGTCCTAGCTCATGTTAAGGCAATACAACAAGGCATCTTAAGTTAGACGTAAAAGTTCATATTAGTCAAGAGAAAATTTCTGGTACTCCCAGAGCATGAAGATTCCAAGCTCTAGGAGTACTAGAAATTTTTCATTTAGCCACATCCCATAATCCAACACAACAGAGAGATGCCAAGCTCGATGTATTACATATAGCAATGCGCTTGGGCGCTGAACTTGGTGAAATCCTACCCAACTTTTAATGGAGATATGCAGGTTGTGATCAAAATCTATAGTTTGTACCCTTATGCTGTTCGATATTGTTCATATCTTTACGGCCCAGTAGAGCTTTTGATCACTGGCTAACATTAAGGCCTTTTGGTCAGTCTTCATCTTACTTTTCTTGAGGTCATCTGCTCTTTCACATAGGCACAAAAGGTTTGAAACCATAGAACAAAACAAAAAACGACGAACTAAGCCTTTTCTTCAATAAATTTGACTTGGTTACATGAATTTTTCGTACGTTTTATTAACGAGATCCAATAAAAGATTCAAAACAACCGAACTCTTACCAAGTCCAACAAAATGATGGTAAATGCAGAAAACTATCTACACATTATTTAACTTTGCAAAACTTACAATATAACAACCAACACAATATAAAACAACAATAGTTCAAGGTGGCACCCATGCTCCGGCGAGCCGGATTTCAGTTTAATGCCTTTCTTGCTAACTTTCTTACCGGAATCGTTCACCTCAACATTGGCCCCAACCACCAAATTATGTCTCTTGGTATGCCAAAAAATGATCTTGAACCTCAACTTGGTTGATAAACCCACTCTGAAAATTGACACGGTCCCATTTGAAACATTTTTAAAAGCTGCGTCCCATGGCGGTCCATGAGCCTCCACCACCGATTTCCTTCGAGCTTGCTTGCCGTGACCTTGGTAAAATCCTGGCACCGTGTAGTTGGCTACAGGAAAGCTAGTATTTGGACCGTAAAAAAAGGTTAAACTTATGTTATCGTAGTACACACCCTTCTCTTTCATTCCATTATCGAGCTTGAGGTCAAAGAATATGCTGTTGTTGCTCCTAGTACCGATCGAATGATCGGATTTATTAAGGATAGGCACGTAAAAATCTTGTATGGAACAAGTGGGTTTGGAGGTACGTAGAGCTAGCCACAAGAATAGAGCACAAACGCCGGAGGTGATTATGAAGCGGCAGCATCTGCCCCCACAACAACCGCCTTCACCATCGCCCGACATGTCGGAAAAGCTGTTTGCGGTGGTCAATGGCGAAGAATAGTTGGTTCTGTCAAACAATTGAAGTGGGAATTTCAGAGTTTGAGGAGATTATTTGATTAGATTGATAAAAAGAACAATACTATTATATATTTACAGAGGATTTAGGTTGGTTTCGTGGAAGAGACAGAGAAGATTTTCAGGTTTTTCCTCTACCGCGTAACTCCAATGGGGTCCATGAAAGAGGTTCACACTCTCAATAAACAAACAAGATCTAATCATGCAAAAGTAATTTCTAGCTTTTAATTATATTTTAATCTTAAGAAAGTAAAGAGAGGGATTTGACAATGTAGTCCATATAAAAATTTACATGTTGCCTTCTTAGCAATGAAATCAGTTTTTCGTGATGAAGCAGAATAGCTTTGGAATACAAATCGTAGAGCTGTCGGGCCTAAAAGAATTTCATTTTGTAATAGAATCTTGAATTATTCTTCTTGTACCGGGGTATCCAACCCCCCTTACCGGCCCCCTCACAAAATGTGGGCCCCCCTATTGTGAGGGGGCCGGTCAGGGGGATTGTATACCCCCTCGGTACAAATAGCAGCTCTCTAGAATCTTATCAAAAATTGATTCCTCGCAAAGAGTTGTGGAGGTGGGTGATAGTACATGCCAACAACATTTGTTGCACAACACTATCAATTCAACATAAGGTCCAACGCAAATAGAAGTTGCCGACTTTTCTAATTCCGAGGAAATGGACAATTTTTTGTAAGTTTACCTTCAACAAATTGTTCATACCTGAAGGTGGATATTTGATCATTAGGAGACACGGCCAAATTTGAACAGAAAAATCCTGCACTTCAATTCTTAGATGATCATTAGCCTTGGATTAAAGGTCCTGTGCAACAATTGAAGCTTAGAGTACACCAATAGGATTGCCTCTCTGACCAACCTTTCTCTACAACTAGCACTTATTTGCACATGGGAATTTCTTCTGTGTGAAGACAACATAATAATTGAATGCTTTGGAACTTTTGTTCTATGGCTTCCTCGAAGCTACGAGGAAAGGAATTTGATTGGGCTTGAAAAGTAGACATTGCATTATATTCTATTATATATTAAAGCGACAAGGTACTACTACACATTTGGGACCTTTGACCAAGCAGAGCAGCGCAGAGCAGCAGACTCCAGCTAACTTCCATGTAGGAATTGATCTTGGCATAGTGCAATAGTTGTCAATCAAAATTACTCACAATACTTGTGATCTTCGAGCTCCAGATATTCCATAAGAATAATAGTTACCTAAGCGATGAAAGACTGAGGCAGTCGACCCTTTTATTAGAGAAGGAATGAATCTTATGGCACACTTTTGCAGGCAAAAGGCTTCTCGTATCACAAGATACACAAATCTATTTTTAAGTCAATTCTTAAAGTAAGCAAAATCTGAACTACCTCGATAAAAGAACGAGGCATTTGACCCTTCTATTATAGCAGGAATGCAAACTAATGACACAAGAAGCAAGATTGAACAGACAACTAGTAAGAACAAAAGTAAAATGTAGAACAATACTATGCAAGTAACATAGCAGCAAGTTTAGCTCTCAGACCTACAACCAGGTCACAGAATTTAAAACAGCCCCGGCCCTGAGGGTCAAAGAAAAGGTAAGAATAATGCCCTCAGATGTTCTCATTTCTAAGAATAATGCCCTCAGATGTTCTCATTTCCCTTTCTTCAAGTGTCAAATAGGATAGGAACTAATTAGCTCTTGTTTGGTAAATCTTTTTTTCAGAATTTAAGCACTTCATTTTTAACCACACTTTTCATTGGACCTACTACTTTTATCCATTTTTTAACCACATATTTCATAGAACCCACCAGCTTATCCTAACTAAACTAAAAGAGCCAGTTTTTTTGCCACGTGTCGGATCCTCAAATCGTTGACCAAAACGACGTCGTCTAATCTCGGCTTAAGGATCCTGACTACCGCCCCTTTTTACCTTACCATAACCTTAACAATCGTTCCCTTCTCCAACCGCACCCTTCGAACCTTTTGCTGTCTCAAAGAGACACCCCGTGTCTCCGTCGCGAACCTCAGTGCGCAACGGAGACACGGGGTGTCTCCGTGCGCAACGGAGCAACAGCAACAGCAGGCGTTGATGCAGCAGGCTCTCCTTCAACAGCAGTCGCTTTATCATCCTGGCCTTTTAGCTGCTCCTCCTCAGGTTTACCTTTTACAGTTTTTTTTTTATTATTTATGAAAATTCAGTCATTCTTTTGTTAACTGTGTTCGCTGTCTGGCTCAGAAGAAGAAAATGAAGGAATATGTGCCTATCGCTCATTGTTTAATTGCCGATGAGGACATCTCTGTTTAAAAATATAATGGATAAGTTATTTAAATTGGTTTGAAATATTGAACAAATTCAGAGCTATATGTTTGACCTTTGATCGAGTATATAGTTTCGTTTTTGCTTTCATTACTTCTTTCTTTTTTGAATTTTTTCGTTTTGCAGATTGAGCCAATCCCAAGTGGAAATTTGCCACCTGGGTTTGATCCAAGCACATGCCGCAATGTGTAAGTTCATTCAGATATTTTAGTTCCTTCTCTTCTTTGCTGCATGCTTGCTTTAGTTGTGCAATATATGCTAACTGTTCCTAAATGTTTCCTATATGTAATGTTGTTGTATGGATTGATGCATCCTTAGATACTTTCTTATCTTGTTTTACACATTTACTTCACAGAGCCAAACTTTTATTTAAATAATGTGTCCCTGTGATTATGTTATGGAACAATTTTTATTCTCATTGTTCACTGGTTTGAATTATGTTATGTTTTCTTATCAGTTATCGTTTCATTTTATAATATATGGAGGGTTTCTTATGGATTCATCTATTTTTCTTTGTTTTCTTTTTCTTTTTGAACTTTTAGGTTCTTTATTTCTGAGAAAATGCAGGTATGTCGGAAACATTCACACCCAGCTGACTGAACCACTTCTTCAAGAAGTTTTCGCAAGTACTGGTCCTGTTGAAAGCTGCAAGCCTGTTAGAAAAGAAAAAGTACAGTCCCCTATATCNTAATCTCAAAAAGTTTTGTCAAACAAGGGCTTAATCAGTTTATTGATAATTTAAACAGTGATCGTCTCATACCCCAACCTATGTTCTATAAAATCAATATGTTAGAGCAGTGAATGAAGTTTAAAAATAATATAACAAATGCAAGCATGATCACTACCTATTATTATTTTTTTAATAATGTAGATATATTTAGCAGATTCTCACTCTATTGAGACTATAATTTATAGGAAAATCAAATGCTCATAGGAGGAAGAAAGCTCACCATCTCGAGGGCTCCTCTGATGAATACTAAAAAATATGGTACATTTTTTTGTCCCTTCGATTGATAAAAAAAATGGATTCTAAGACAATTTCCTGGAAATGTTAGCTCTACATCTTGTCAACAAACTATGAAGTCGTGTTTTTTGCACTTCAAATGAGAATGTGAAATGGAAAACAAGAAAGTACTTGATGTAACGCAAAGGATCGAACTGTGGATATTTCGAACACCATCCGAAGATAAAAATAAATTATTATGACACTTTAAAACGTGATGATCCCACTACTAAAAGAGCATGGGAAAGGGTAAATGAATAGAAAAGTAAAATTCCAAGAGCATCATAATTAAAAAAAAAAAAGTGGTATACTTTTAGAAAAGAAGACAACGAAGGGCATCATAATTTCAAAAGAAAGACAATTCAAGCAAGTGGAACTATCCTTAGAAATTCCACAAACCTTTATTGTAAATTTTTGAGTAAACTTTAGTGAAAAGAAAACGAAATATGTCTCTGATATTGAACTTAATTCTTGAAAATTTTAGCTTAGACAAATCATCATTCTTCATGTGAGATGCTTGAAAATCATAACTTTGAAGATTGTAGCCGAATGGATAACCTTATGAAGGTAATATAGAAGGCTGAAATGAAGATCTATTGAATAGGAAGTGGAATGTTCATCTAACTCTTATTATTATTTCAAGTGTACTATGTCGGTCAGTTAATTGAGTTAGCAAAAATTGTACGCAACCGTTTTTCAGAACAATTATTAGTTCGAGGAAATTACATCTTTATATCCCTTTTCAAAATCACATCTTTTTTAAAAGATTTTCATTTTTGACATTTTTTAAATTTTTTACCAAAATACTCGTACAAACTTTTTTTAAAGAATAATGGTATTCATATATAGCAAATGCAATAATCATCATACATGACAGCTTGTTTATTTGAAATAATAGTTTGTCATTTGTAATGCATTTTCTTCGCCGATTTCCACCACCATATCCATCCATCCATCCTCACTGCAGCATCACTCCAACCACCGCCCACCTCTACCTATGCCATTTCCACCGGCACCAAAACCCCTGCCATCACCACTTGGAGATCTGGTCGGTCTCTAGTTTCACCGGCGTTGATGAATGATTTGGTAGTAGAGACTAGATATTTGGTCTCCAAACAATTGGAGAAAGTTGTGGGAAGACAAAAACCCATCTCCCTCTCGAAGAACTCGTTCAACCATTTTCAGAATTGTTGTATAATTTCTCCATTTCAGCTCAATTTTCGATAGTGAAACAATTGTTACAAATAACATGCAAACATACCATGAAAGGACATCTGTAGAAGAAGTAGGAATATGATACCAAAATAATACGCCAGGTTGGGGTGTGGGTGATGGCGATGGGAAGACAATGAAGCTTTTGTATGAAATGCCAATCCTTTAAAACTTTCCAGAAGTTGCCATATTTATTGGCTACTTTCGAAAATTCCCCTACTTATTTTTTTATGGATTTGTTACAACGATAAAGTCTAACCATACCAAAGAATTGTTGTTGAATGCACCAACGCTGAGCCCCTATTTGGTTTGAACAAAAAATTGATTGTTAATAAATTTTGATCAAAATTGGGGAAATATATTGTTTAAAAGTTAATAAAAATTGTGGGTGTAATTAAAAATGAATTTAAGAAAAAAATAAAAT